TCAGTTATTGTGCTCTGAGTACCCCTGGAAGGCCCTGATTCGATTATGTCCAATACTTGTTCCTCTGTGCCTGGAACCCGAACATCAATTGTCGTTCACTATCTTCCCGGAACCACTCTCCTCGCTCTTTGTTGGCGTGAGTTCTTTCAGCTTCTGCTATGTTACTGTAGCATTTCCCCTGAACTTATCGCATACCCGCAAATTCGTGTAATCGTTATAATTCAAAGTAAGTCACAGTTTGACAAATTATTGTTATGATTGCCAAGGCCAAGGATCCACCTGTAACTATCTGTTAAAGGCAAAAAACATTTCGAATGCTTAAGTATTCCAATAGGCTGCCAATCCAACGTGGGATTTTTTTTTTAAATAATGCTTAATAACAATGTTGAAATTCGATCTTCAACTGTCAATATTTTCCAGAAATTTTCGAAAAAAAAAAATTTCTTAATTTTTCTGGTACTCCCCAAGCGAGCCTCTATCACCCCTTAAAAGGAATGACGCCAATTTTGAATCACCCTGTATAAAAGCTCGTAATTTTTCTTAAATTTTAATTTGTGATTTTGCGCGCTATCTTTAAACAAGTATTTAAGTTCAACACTTTATTTACATATTTTTGAAAGCAAAGCGATGTCGGAAGCAAAAAAGAAGAAACGGCAATACAGTATAGAATATATTAAATATAGATTCATAGAAAATTCGACATACCCATCTTTGCCTTTGTGTCTTCTTTGTTCAAAAACATTTTCAAACGAAGGGATAAAGCCTTCAAGATCATTTGAATAAAATGCATCCGGATCGGAAGGACAAAAATGAACCCTATTTTCAAGATCTCAAGCGGATCGAAACTTTTTTCGATGACTGCGAAGCAAAACGATGACGGACTTCGAGCTTCATACAATATCTCTGTTAATTGCTCAAGCAGGTAAACCACACACCATCGGAGAAACGTTAATTTTGCCGGCGATAAAAGAAGTTATAACTACTGTGCTCCATAAACCGGGGGCAGATATAATTCGAAAATTTCCTTTGAGCAATAGTTCTGTCCAAAGACCAATTGATAAAATGGCTGAAAACATTGAAGTCATTGTGCAATCATCTGAAGACTAGTAAATTTTCAATTCAGTTGGATGAGTCCACTTTACCAACTAATGAAGCATTGTTGTCTTACGTGAGATTTATTAGATGAAAAAATATGTCAAGAACATTTATTTGCTTGAAATTTAAAGACAGACACGAAAGGAGAAACCGTATTTAAAACACTGTTGCAGAATATTATATCAGTTGCTACAGAAGGTGCTCCAGCTATGACGGGGTGTCAAAAAGGCTTCATATCGTACTTGAAAAACAAAATTCGTGATGTGCTTGCTGTACATTGCGTTATACATCGACAGCATTTAGTTGCTAGAAATTTCTGTCAATGAGTCAGAGCTGTCATCAGAGCAGTCAATAAAATCCGAAACAACTCTTTAAATGGCAGATTATTTAATCAGCTATGTGTTGATAATGATGAAGATTTCAACAGATTGATCTTTCACACAGAAGTGCGATGGCTATCAAAAGGAAATTGTCCGACTCGTTTTTACAATCTGTTTGACTCTGCCATGGAAAACGAAGACAGAATTGCGCGAAAATCTCAGCACATCAAAGAATTATATTGCAGACCTGACAGACCTTGCATTACAGAAGACATTTACATTGATTAATGATATGAATCTCCAACTTCCAGGTGATGACTTGAACTTAATAAAACCAAAAAATGTCGTCGTTGCTTTCGTAGCCAAGCTGCTCTTACACAAGAAGAATATCGGCAGACGTGAGTTACATAATTTTCCCAATTTATCAGAATCCTGCAACAACGACGACTTGCTCGTCTACTCCCAACATTTAGAAAATCTTCACAGTGGTTTCATTGAGAGATTCCAGAACATTTTGAAATTGGAAATACCAGACTGGGTGTTAGATCCTTTTTCAAATGTCAACATAGAAATATCACCCCAGTTGGGAGAAGAACTTATAGAACTGACAACGAACGAGGAAATAAAAATTAAATACAAAAATGACAATACAAAAGTAAATTCCGCAGTTGAACCCTGGATTGTGGTCTATTGTTGAACGATTTTTGATAGCATTTCCAGCGTCATATTTGTGTGGATTTAGCGCTGTGACAATGCTGCTTGCTAAAAAGAGAAATCAGTTGCAAGTTACCAAACGCGGCGACTTACGACTGTTTTGAGTAAATCGAACCTGATATCAACAAACTAAATATCATCAAATTCATGCATCTCATTAGATTAGTATAAAAACGAAAACTGATTACATATTTATATTGTTTCGTTTAATTTGGTTAAACTATATTATTAATATTATAAAGTTGGGTTTTATTGGATCTCACAGGTAAAAATGTCTAGTTTAAAATGTAGGTTTAAACATCAGAACCGACATTAGCCGTTAATAAGTTACATTAATAACTAAATTAATTAAAGTAATGAAATTGTGGTTTTTAAGTTTAGGGGTGTACAAAAAATGGGGGATGCCGAAAAATAATTGATTTTCAAAGGGGGCGGTAAAAGAAATAAGTTTGATAATCACTGCCTTAGGGCATATGTGTATATGGACAATAAATAAATAAACAAATAGTACATAACAACAATGGTAATTGTTGACTGTCCCACGTGATTTGCAATAATTTACGAGATTATTAACTGGTTTTTTTAAAAATGAGCCACCCTGTAGAACTTAGCGCTTAAATGGACCCAAAAAAATACGATTTTGGTAATAACTTTTCGAGAAAATATCGTATTTATTAAAACACTAAAGAAACTTGTGTTTTGACTGCGACAGATCCCGTAGGAAATGTCACAGTCAAAGAGAATGCCAGCTTAATCTCCCGTTAACTGCGGCGTTACTACCGGCGATTAGTAACGTAATTAACTCTTTTTTCGTCATTTAACTCACGTGTGGCTGAGAAAAACTCCCCTCAATCGTGTCTTCTATACCTAAAGTTTATTTCCGGTTTAATTTACGTCGTTTGATTGCATATGTACTGAGTTTCGGCCCATAAATTAAGCCACAAAACACTTACAAACTTTTGAAATTATATCATGCGCTTATTTATGCACGAAATATATTGTGCGACGGTATTTGCTGCTAAATCGTATTTTAGGTATCAACAATTGCAAACACCAGCAAAATTGTCGCTAAGGTCCACAATAATGGTGTTTTTCGCAAAAGTTTGACCATTTTTTCGAACGTCGCCCATTGATTGAGGTTATCTATCACGTCGATAGTCAGATGGCGGATTATTTGTCTTTTTAGGGAATCCAACCTAATGCGGTGTTACTACGTACTTTTTAGTTTTTTCCTTTCGGTTAGTTCGTTTGTGGGTGTTGTGTTGAGTTGAAGTGACTTTAAAAAAAATAATAATAAACAGAAAGTAAAAGTTAATATACCGACAAATACAAGAAAACAATTTTCAATGATTTAAAACTTCTTGCGCAGTTTTGCAATGTTTAGCCCAAAAATTGGGATTTTCCTCAAACTTTGTGAGTGTTTTTTGGCTTAATTTATGGACCATCCAGGCATTTTTTTCGCTAATAACAGCTTAATTTAATATGTCCTTTAAGAGAAAACCACAATAAAACAAAAAACTTTGAGAGTTAAACTGCTTAAACGCTTGATATTCAGGAAGTAGTATTGCCTCATTAATTCCAACTTAAACACTCCAGTTTATTATTTTACATTCCGAGCGAATTCACATGGGTAATTTCTGAATAGATGCACATGTTTCGAATATTAACACAAACAAAGTAGTCGAACAGCTTTTACAAAATTGAACATTTACGTGGGAACCACGGTGTGAATACGAATCGTATTCCAGTCGATGACTGAATGTTCTCCTTGTTAAACCGGCTATTTAACTGATTGGTTTTACTTACCCTTATATCCCCTTGGTTGGCCAAAGCAATGATGTCTGTTAGTTTATGCAGTAGTACGCAAAATGGGCCTTGTTCTTTCAGGCATTTGTTGAGATCCAGCTGAAACAAACGCAAAGTTTATCAAAAAACAGTGATGGCCAAATAAGAAACGATACACGTACTTTGAACACCTCGAAACCCCGTTTAGAGCAAGCAGCGACCAGCTCTTGCCAATTAATTTTCTGTAGCTTCTTTTCCGACATCCATACCGCTATTCGTTTGTTCGCCGGCATTGTAAAAAACAATTTGCACTCAATTTTGCGAAACCATATCAACTTAAATAAATGTTTTCAAACCCCACAAACTACTTGTTAACTGTTCGGAATCAAAAACATTATTGTCAACAATATCGTTGCTTGGTGTCAAGAGAACTGTTCTGTCAATTGAAACAAGACTTGGATAGAAATGACTTTTGGTGGTGTATATGGTCTGTCGCTTATGTCGCTCCATCTGTTGGCTATGAAGTAAAGAATTTAACAATGTGCACCAGCAACCCACTCACACTTGATGCTTTTTAATTGTTCCACAAGAGATCGCTGATATCGAACTTTTTGGCGGTGTTCTCCAGACTATTTATTTTTTCCAATTTACCTTGCCTGTTCAATCTGAAATCTATTGTGTGTTTTGATTATGTTAATAGCTGCTTGCAAAATAGTAAAGAAGAAAATTTTTTTTCATCGAATAGACTTTTTGGATTTTAATTAACGAAATTAAGTTAACAGCAAAAATTTATTCGATAACAATTAAATAATAATTACAAAATTTTGTTGTTATTAAATGGTTCGAAATTCTCAAAAGTATTTGACCCTGTAGATCAGAAGTGAGCAACGCGGCGCCCGCGGGCGCCAATGCGCTCCCGATCGATTTTTAATGCGCCCTCGCTGGACTAATGTAAATGTATAATAGCCAGACCAATCCGGATACCTCAATCAGACCATACCAATTTTGATAGTGACTATCCAATAAACTCTGAAATTAGAAGAAAAAAAATAAGTTTTTTTAAAATATTCAATAACTAGGCAGCAAGGTTTTTTTACTAAACCAGTGCAACAACATAAGTCTGCAACGATCACGTCATATAAAATATCGCATTTGCTAGCTAAGAATAAAAAAACCATTTACAGATAGAAAATTAGTGAAAGAAGCCATGCTAGAAGCTGCCGATTCACTTTTTGAAGAATTTAAAAATAAAAAGGAAATAGCTTCAGCTATAAACACGTTGCAATTATTAGCACGAACTGTCACTGGAAGAATTGAAGTAATTGCGGATAATTTGAAGGCAGAATTATCAAATGATATGGAAAATCGTATTTTCTTTTCGCTACAGATGGATGAATAAACAGACGTGACAAATATATCACAATTAGCAATTTGCGTAAAGATGGTATTTTCTGATTTTACAACAAAAGAAGAATTCCTTAAAGTTCTGCCATTAAAGGGAAGCACCAGAGGAGGAGATCTCTTTTCTACTTTTAACAAGTATATAATAGATGTAAAATTACCTCGACAAAAGTTATCGTCAATTACAACAGACGGGACACCAGCGATGACTGGTAAGAAAAAAGAATTTATTGCCTTATGTAGACAGGATTCCTTATTCCCGAAATTTATTTTTTATCATTGCCTCATAGATCAGGAAATGTTATGTGTAAAACCAATCGGTTTTCAACACGTATTTACGATAGTAATAAAAATTATTAATTCCATAAGATGGGGAGCTGTGCAACACATATTATTTAAATTACTTTTAGAAGATGAGGACGTTCAGTTCACAGATCTTTTATATACTGAAATGAGGTGGCTGAGCAGAGGTAAAATACTTGAGCGGTTTATCATGCTTTTGCCACAAATAAAGAAATTTATTGCATCAAGAGGCGAATTTTACGAGCAATTAGAAAATAAGGATTGGCTAATCGACCTCGGATTTCTGACATATAACGGCAATTTGAAGAATACAAGGGAAAAATCAGCATATTGCTGACCAGGACAAGAAAGTGCCTTTCTAACTCCGAGTTTGTTGCTGATCGTTCCAGACTTCGTACCACGTGGAGGTGAAGAATAGGGAATTTTTCTTCATAGGATTGAAGACTATAGGGCGTTACTTCAATCCACCAGTACTTTAGAGTACATGTAATAGATATATTCCCGTGCAGGTTGAGCGACCCATCCGACGCGTGCCCAGGTGGCGAGTAGGAAAAAGGCCGGTCAGATACATCTGTTGTATGTTAATTAATGGAACTGGATGTTAATTTTCTCACCGTATAGTGCGCGCCAAGAGATGCAAGAATGAAAACCCGACTAAGCTTGACAGGCGCGCACCTTATTGTATCAGCCTTACCCACGTATTTGGAGCTCTGTGTGGGTGGATCTAACCCTTTCCTAGCTGCTCGTGGGAAACATGGGGAGGAAAACACCACCACAATATACCGGCGTGGCTTCCTCAGAAGAACCGTAGTGGCAAAGTACCGGGAGGTGGTAAAAAAGTCTCGGGGGCCGCCCGGGGAAAAACACCAAAGGTAGACCTCTGTCCTAGGTACACCGTCAGGAAAACCAGCACATCCAAAAAAAAGTTGCCATCGGTCGGATGGCAGCACACCCAACGAGCCAGCACCTGAGCGACTGTGTGTGCGGGAACTTCCGTAGATGGCCACAGCCGCGGTCGGATATCCCCAGAAAAACTTTTCTCCTCAGCAGGAAGAACTCATAAAGAGCTGCAGCCAGGGATGACTACCAGACTAATGCCCGGTTTCTGGTAGATTCCCTTATTGGTTCGATAACTATCGGTCCGCTACAGTTGTAGGGTCTATAACTTATGGTGGGTTTCTCAACGTATCTAAACGCCAAAGCTAGTGGATCCATAACTATCGAGTCTATAAAGTAGGCAAAGCTTGGTATTCTGTGAGTAAAGCCATATAACGAAGAAAAAGAATGATTAGAGTAACTTGTGTTACAAAAAAAAATTGTCCGGTTTATTTTACTTCCGAGATCTGGTGCCTATTTAATAATACAAGCTATAAGTGTTGGGCTCCGAAGAAAAAATCAAATAAATACAAACTATGCAAATGTATTTTGTCATTCTTCCTGTTGCATAAAACCTTAGACCTAGAGTAATTAGCAATTGTTCGCAAACAGATAAACTGTGGTTTATCTGTATCACTGGCTGAATTTGTTCCTGAAGTAGCTCTTCTAGGTAGTGAACAACGTTTTTGGTTAAACGAAAACGATCTCGGAATTCATCTTCTCCGTATTTCTCAAAATAATCATTTCGTGCTCGAAAATGGCGAATTATTTCACTATTCAGAACATCGAAAACTTCCTCGTCAGATGAGTCCGAAGTGGAATCTTCCATTCCATTATATTCAAAAACTTTGCTTCCCTTTCACACTCAAATTTTGCTTCCAAAAATGTTGTTATTGTTTTCCCAAAACGTGTTCTCTGCTCGCAGGTGATTTTTGACACTAATGGCAAATACGCTTGCGTGCGCTGCTCCTACAACTTATAGAACCGATAAAAGTCCGTGAGCGACCGTTCATCGGTTCTCCAATGTAACGAACCGCTAGCTCTTATCGAACGTTTCAGAAACCCATTTTTCCGACTTGTAGATTCGTTTAGGCTATTGGAACTATAAAGATCGTTTTATAAACCGGGCATAGGTCTTGCGTACCCTCAAGATTCTTCTGGAGTTCATTGAATACACAGGAATAATGAGGGAGTAAAATACGAGGGCCCAATAGGGCAGAAATGACCGCGGTGCTAGGCCAAACACCTCCTCGGAGGTGAGGAAAGGGTGGTGATAGTGGGTAAGCAGCTAGGCTGGAGTCCCACAAGGCCCAGAGCGTCAGATCATCAGTTCTTGGTGTGCGTAAGAGAGCATTTCTCAAACTCAACTTTCAAAACTCTCAAAATAATAATACAATTATTTGTACAAATACATACAAATGAAATGAAATTGGGCAGGACATATAGCTGGAATGACGGATAAAAGATGGACAAAACGCATTCCGAAATGGAGACCAAGAGCGGATGCCATAAGGAGTAGGGACGGTAAAGGACCCCAACCAGATGGTCAGACGATTTGAGACGCATAAGTTCAAACTGGATGCAGACGGCTCGGACCCAACTTTGTGGGTGAATGTACGGGACACTGAATTTAAGGGAGGCTTTTATCCAGCAGTGGACTAAGATGAGCCCATCTAAATCGTGGCCTAAAAATAACTAGTGTCACAAGCCCATTGTTATTTCTATAAAAAGGTTAGAAAACGTTTCGTTATTGTAAGATAACTGACTAAGGAAAATGTCCCATTCCTACCCAATGCCTAGTAAAAATGGCCAATTCTTACTACAAAACCACTTTGGTTTTCCACCATGGCAGAATAACAAAAAAAGGAAATAAAAATGTAGGTAAGTATGTAGGTATGTCGACAACCGTCAACTATTATACTAAAATAACTAGTGTTAAACCATAATATTTTCACACCGAGAATCTCCCGTTTTGGTGTGTGCCATTACTTTTGGAACAACCTCTTTATTTTGGAGTAAAATTCAGTAAATACATTTTGCTCAACAGTCGAAACAGCCACATTCCATACACATTTCTGCCCGTAGTGTATGTTCAGTTGTTTCGCCGCGAATATATGATACAAAATGCTGAACCTAATTTTTGCATTTTTCATTTTTCAAGCTACAATTTTTGTTAGTGGGTTTCGTGGTGTATTGCCGAAAGTTGAACCCGATTTTCAAGTGTTTAACAGGGAAGGTAAGAGAATTAAAGAATCAGAAATGAGTGATGAAGTAACATATTCAATTTCCAGAGCTGTACATTTCCCAGGTTTCGCAAGACTCAACCTTTCAATCAAATATCACGGTAGCCAAGTGGAAAACATTGAACACTGGCCACAGCTCTTTTACATTGGGTGTTACTAATAACACCATGATAAATATTCTCTTTTCCAACTTGTCAATGCATGGTGCTCATCCGACTATCATTTCCCGAGTATTTGGTAAGGCTGTTTTAAAATGTAATTGCTTTTAAAATTTTAAATATTTTCGGCACTACTGTAACAAACTTAAAAATACGATTCGTACAACCGAGATTAGACAGATTAGGAGAATCTCAACTCGACAGAAAAATATTGTAGAGTACGAGAGACAGTTAGGAGAGTACACAGCTTTAGGGGTTTCTCATTTTCAATAGAATGCTGGATTTCCTCAGTTTCAATGTCAATTCGGTTTAAATATAATGAAGAGTAAGAGACGCAAGACGGAGAATCGTTAGGTCTCTTTGGGTTTACTGATTCTCAAACGGGCGCCAAATATCTTCAATTTTCTGGTGCTTTGGGGTCGTTAAGTTTTTATATCACATATCGTAGAGTTTATACTGCTCTGCCAATTGATAGTAAAAACTTTGAAATCAGTAAAGCCGTGTCGGAGTTACAGGCTTCTTTGCATTAAGCGATTTTATTTCTTCCCCCGCCCTTTATTTGACGTTAGGAAAAAAGTTCATAAGGAAAGTACTACTGTTTTTTTATGATCTTTTGACCAAACTTACTAGATGTTTCACTGATCGGGACAATTTCTGTATAAAATCGACTTTTTCAAATACCGTTTGCAATTGCGAGTTCAAGCCGTTATCTAAGAAATTTAAAAATAATTTTCAGCAAGTTCTTTTCTTTAAGTTTGTTATCAATTTTTTATCGAACATTCTACAATTACAAATACATTTTACAAAGCTTGCTATCCTTACTGCGACACCTCATGTAAAAGCAGGTACTTACGAGAGCTGCTTTGCCGCCGCTCGGTATTTAATTTAATATATACAGGGTGATTCAAAATTGACGTAATTCCTTTTAAGGTTATACTATCCTATATACCTTTAAAGACCCCTTTAAAGAGTACGAGAAAAATATTGAAAATTTTTTTTTCAAAAAGTCCAAGAAGATATTAACAGTTGAAGATTGAATTGCAACTTTGTTATTAAGCATTATTTTGAAAAGGTCTCACGTTTGATTGGTAGCCTATTGGAATACTTAAGCATTCGAAAAGAAAAATTACGATCTYTTCTACAATTGTTTGATAAAAAGTCAAAGCGGCAATGATGTTTTTTGTTATTAACAGATAGTTATAGGTAGAAAGTTTTTGTCAATAATAACAAGCATTTTTCAAACTGTGGCTTATTTTGAAGCCCCTTTCACAAAATGTAAACCAACAGCGAATTGGCGAATATGCGATTAGTTATGGGAAAATGCCACAGTAACATAGCAGAAGCTGTAAGAACTTATACCAGCAAAGGGCTACGCACTAGACGAGTGGCCCGAAATAAACGCATATAGTGGACAATCTAAAGGTGCTCGGTTCCCAGACCTAGAGGAACAGGTATTGGAGATTATTGCATCTGAGCCTTCCAGGAGTACTTGAAGCATTGCACAACAACAGCATATTTTCAAACACTGGATATTTAATTGTMCCGATAACTCCCTCGAGGAAGGGTTGACATTCCTACCATGTATGTAATATGCATAATACTGTTACATTTCCCGAGGTTCGAATGATTCCAGTAAACCAATAAAATAACACAACAATTTATTGAACTCCCAAATACTAACTAACTCAAAACTATAGCTCGCGAATCGAACACACTCTAAATATCGCTTTAAATATTTCACTGTATAGCTGTCTGACTAACTTTGAATGAATAACTCACTCCGGTCGCCTTGCCGTATTTATATTTAAAAATCAATTCCTGGGCTTCAGTCATTTATTGTCTATTTATCAATTAAAATACGTTTCGGTGTTTTCCACCATCATCAGTTTCAAAGTGATTGGGACGCAAAGATGTTTGGAGTGAAACGGGCAATACTTCTTGCTCTTGGGAACACAACTTGTGTTTTAACAATAGAATTGTATTTTATTTGATCTATAATATTGATCAATGATACATAACCTTTAACTGGTGGTTTTGGATGGCAGTTGTGACCGATTTAGGTATAGCACTCATTTGCCCCAAAAAGATGGCAGCACTTGGGGGGTTGTTTTGTCACAGCTCTGACCGCAAGGTGACACCGTTATCATAACCGCAACCTATGTTATTGTCTCTTTTATTTTTTCTGCTTCATGTTTATCCATAGATACCGGAGTTTTTAATGATTACCAAGGAACAGATATTTACGTAATATTAATTAGGCAGATTACCTGGATAAACATTGTTGTCATCCCTCTGATCTAGTTTTTTGCAAATATCTGAGTTTTTAATAACATTTAATTTGTTTATTATTTTCTCTGTACTCCCAAGAAACCCCCAGACAACACCTCCAGAGGAATGACGCCAATTTTGGTATCACTCAACCTGTATGAGTAGCATCAACAACAAAATAACAAGAAAATATCGAGAAAAATTTAGCCATCAGACTATTTAGTGTTATGCTTGTTCAGTTTGATGACAATTTTTTTTATTAAAAGAAAGAGAACTTGTGGCTCTAAACTTTAATAAAACAAAATCAAAGGTAAAGTTAGTGCCCAGTAAAAACAAAGAAATAAACGGAACAAACATAGAAACAGCAGGAAAGTATGTGTATCTGGATCATGAAAACAGTATCGGCAGGGTTAACCAGACGAATGAGCTTCAAAGGAGAATCTCCCTGGGATGGGCTGATTTAGGACAGCTACAAAACGGCCTTAAAAGTGATATGCCTATCCGTATAAAACGTAAAACTTTTAACGCATGCATACTACAGATAATCCCATACGGAGCAGAAACTCTCCCACTGACAAGGGCAACCATAGCAAAATTACAGGTAGAAGAAGAATGGAGAGAGCAATGATAGGTGTGAGCCTGAGGGACAGAGTCTTAAACGAGGATTTGAGACGCAGAACGGGAGTTTTAGACAATAGAACGAATTACAAGGCTGAAATGGGGTTGGCTTGACATGTGGTTAGAACAAGGGATGGGAGATGTATAATGAGAGAGAGAGACGTATAATTTGAAGCGAATATCAGCAAACTGGTTTTGAACCGCGCCAGATAGAGAAAATGGGAGGACACTTGAGAATGCTTGAGACACTTGAGGAGGTTCAGCAGTGGACGTCGAGAGGCTGATGATGATGATGATTAAGCGACAAGTAAATGTCATTAAAATGACAGTGTTGAAATTAAATTAAATTGAAAAATTCATAGGAATTTATGGTGGTAATTAATTACAAGAGAATATAATGAAACATTCATTATGACAACATCGTTAATGAGGGGAATACGGAATAGTAACATTATAGTAAGGCAAAATGTCTACAAAGCGCAGTCGTAGGACCCGTAGCAGCCATGCGATCGTGCCCTTGGATTATTTCTACTGTTTGTAAAACTATGCATCGGAACCTACTTTTATCCCTACCACCTGTTTTTCATTAATGAATCGCCGATCCATAGAATTCAATGTTTTTACCAAACAAATCAGGATTTATGAATCACTAGCTTGGTCTAGTTTAACTCATTAACTTTACTTTTTTACCCTGTTCCCGCCAGTAGTCAAATTTGATCTAGTAGCGTTCAAGATTTTTTTTCAGTTTTTAAATTTTCAAGCAACCAGAAGCACAAGCAAATTTTTTGTAAATAAAAGTTGAGCGGAGATCTTCGAGGATGACAGAAATGTTTTTTTGGCAAACACTAATCAAGTTATACTATGAAGGCTTCACGGCCGGTTAAATCACATTTAGGAATGTTTTCCGGGCTTTGAAGCCGTGGTCTATGGGAATTTCTTCCTGACGTGTCGTCCACAACTGCGGTGAACATTATCAAAGGCGATGAGGCAAAAACAGTGAAGATCGCTCGGAGACAACAGAGACGCATGATGAGCGTAAGAGTTGGGCTTGCCTCCCGTACATACATGGAGTCACGGACAGGAT